AATTATAGGTGTATTTTGAGTAGCTTTACAAATACGCAATTTACTCTGATAACGCAGTCCTTTCTTTTCTGGTCTCAGAAGGGAAAAACAATTGCCGCGTTGATGTGCTTCTCTTTGCTTTCTTAGAGTGACAGTGCTACCTAGTGCTCAGTTAGGGTAAAGGCAGCTATCTGCACTGACACTGTGTTCAAAATTGATTAATTTATTTTTAGTTTAAAGGCTTATCAGCGGAAACGATGAGCATGCCCAGAACATGGGTGTTCCTCCAGGATGAGCAGGGCAGTTCTCCATGTGACACGGCACACAAGGCGCGCAGGGCTGGCGTGGTGACCTGTGTGGCCTTCCTACCTGTAAAAAATATTTTCAACCGAGACTTTTTGCCAGATCCGACAACTGTGGGAGAAGATATGGGCAGTCCTGCTCTGTCCTTGGGGCTGGGGGAAGAAAAGAGCAGCTCTGTAGTGAGCCTGTCCAGCTCAGCCCTGCTGTAGAATGATAGGAGAAGATCCTTTCTTCTCATCTCACGTGTGGAGACAGAAAGCTGAGCGCTTTTAAAGGCGGATAGTAGGAAGTCGAAGGTGGCAAAAAAAGCAGGAAGGTGGAAGAGATCAGTTGCAACAGCTGAGGATGAAATAAATACATTCTGTCCCAGCCTCTATGCCTGCTGGTAATGGCTAAGAGGTGTCGCTCCCAGGAAAGATGCTTCAGATGTCAGGAGACTGGGATGATAATAAAAATCTGTCTGTGTTTATTGATGGGAGGAAAGAATAAATAGAATCTGATCTTTCTTTTTAGAAAGCGCCTGCTGTGCTGCTGTTCGACTTGCTGCAGAGCAGGTTGGATCACACGCTGGAGATGATGTTGGTCAGGAAAGTTTAAACTTTCTTTTTGCATAGATCTTTTTTTTGGCGGCTTCATATGGACTGCTACTCCTAGTCCCAAACTCACCGATGAACTGAATCTGCAGTTTATTAGGTAATCCACTTACTTCAGTGAAAGAAATTAAGTAAAGGAGAAAACTTTCATTTCCCATGTGTCTCCTGTAATTAAAATGAGTGCTTGCTCCAGTCTCGCTCCTACCTGCTTGGTTTCCACCTCCCAGTGCTCTGTTAGAGATTATTGTGCTGCTATTATCATACAGGCTATTTCAATGTTATTTTCGCTGATATTGTAAAAGTGTAGATTTCATTACAGAGCATGCATAAAGGAGAAATTTGAGGGCAGCGTGGGTCTGCAGGCCTAAAGAAATGTCTGCAGAGGGAATGGTCCTTTTAGGATATTCATACTTTAGTCACGGGTCATAGTTCAGTTGCAGAAAAAGCCAAAGCTTCTGATGTTTGTTTGGTTGGGGTTTTTTAATTGTTGAATTATATAGTATGTTTTAAAACAGTTGTAGGCAGACTCTCAATGAAAAGCATGAGTGATCATGAAATACTGATTGGGTTTGTTGCATTTTTCCGTTCAACACAAGATCTGCATCTTCCCACAGCAGTGCCTAAGGAAGCAGAAAAAGGAGATAATCAAGATCAGTATGAGCTCTATGCTGCCCAAATCCTTTCCGTATAAAATACTCCTTCTCATCCTAAACCAGTTTATTATTTTTAATGCTGGGAACGTGTCAGAATGTAATCTCTGTTCTCCAGAGTCAAATGGGAACATGCCCAGCATACCCCTCATCTCAGGTTGGTCTCGGGAAGTGCTGTCTGGTAGATCTGTACGCCTGAATCTGTAAAGTAACCAGTCAGTTGAAATCCCATGGAAGTTATTGTGTGTATTGTCAATCCTTTACACCTGAGTGGATCCGGGAACGGGTTTTCATCCTCTGGTGAACGTCTGACTAGGTCAACTTAAAGAGAAGATGTGAATGAAGTTGTTTTCTGAGAGCTGTGACATTTGGAAGGATTGTGATATTTCAGTTTAGGAATTCATGATAGAAGATTCTAGTGGAGCAGAGAGTGGCAACAGGGAAGTCTCCAGTGGAGGAAACCTAAGTGTCCCCTCGTTAAACGGGAAGTCAAGTGATGCTGGGTAGAACCAGCACATCTCCAGAGGCAGTGCTGCGCGGCAGAAAAGTTTTAAGCTTCCTGTATATGTGTGTGTACATGTATATGTACATAAAGCTCAGTACAAAATTGGATTGGCTTTATATACAAACTTATGCACAGAAAAGAGGGATGTTAGGAATTCTTTAATTTTGCATCCAAAGCCATAAGAACAACTGGAAACTGGATGCTGAATCAGAACAATTCTGTCTTGAGCGTGCTGCAGTGTAGGCCATTACCTACAAACATCCAAAACCTGCTGCATGATACTGGAGTCACAGGACCGCTCTCTGGGATCATCTTGGCATTGCCTGGACTTCTGCTGCTGCAACAGGGAGCAAGGACATGAGTTCTCCAAAACCATGTCTGAGGCATGCTATAGTTTTGGAGACTTCAATACTACTACAAAGGGCTTTTTTTGATAGTTACAGCATTGTGAAATGCTGCTCTCATGGTATGGGAAGCACATATCCCATGGACTTGGCTGGGTAGATGTGTGTTGCATGGTTTCCTGTTACTGGGAGGACTTGGAAGTGGTGACCTAAGCCGTCTCATCCCGGGTCATAGGGTTGTTAGTGTCTGTTAAGAGCTAGCTGCTTGTTTTTGTTAAAATAGCGTGAGGATGTACAGTCTAGGGATCAAAACCTAGCCCTTGTTTCTGTTTCTGTCCTGTTTAACCTGTGGAAAGCCCCGATCCTTCAATGTACATTGGGTGAGTGACTCCAGGTGCGCGTGTGTGAAGTTGAGTGTTTCTCATTCAGCTGGTGAGAGTTTGGCTGCAGGGTTTGGTTCATCGAATTGAAGAGCTGTCGTCTTTGCTTAATGAGTGATGGTCTGGGTTTTCCAGTTAGTACAGTTGCTTAATGCACCAGCTCCAACACTTCCAGCTGGGTCCCTGGCTGGAGTCTTGGAAGTCTATTTCCATTACCTGGGCACCAACAAGTGTATCTGAGAAAAGAAATACGACAAAATTTCACTGGATTTGACGCAAAATTAATTTAAAGGGAACTTCTAAGTGAATACTAAAAATAAACTTTGGCATTTTGTCTCTGCAGAGTTTACAGATGCTTCCTCAACAACGGAAAGCCATAGCAAAATTTAAGGAGCCAGCACATGCTTTAGCATTTCAACAGAAATTCCACAGGTAAATAATTGAACGCTGCTGCCGCCTTGGTTCCTTCCCTCCCTTTAAAAGATTAAATCAGTCTCCTCTGCTCAGTGTTTCTCTTAAGCTAATTGAGCACCTGTTTATTAGTGACTTTCATAGAACCTCCTTGTCTGTTCCCCACCACTGGAATCGGTTTGATTGAGTACCGGGTTTAAATTTCTTTTAACAGGCACATGATAGATCTGTCCCACATAAATGTGGCGCTGATAGTTGAGTGATGTCTGCTGAGAGAAACCCTGACACTAACAGAAGCGCACTGTGGAGCTACGCGAGACGCAGTGGCAAAACCATCAGGTTGCGAAACCTTTCAGCTTAGTCTTTAGTTGCTATGTTGAACTACAGAAAGCAGCAAGATGTCCTCCGGAAGAGCTGAACTTGAGAGGATCTGCAAAGGTGGAATTTCTGTTTGGTTTGTTCACGTTCTGTTGTAACCACGTGGAACTACGGATTTATTTTTTTTTCAAAATGCTTTCAATGCATGTAGACACTGTTCTTCAAGATCCTACTGTGTGACCACAGTGACTTGAGAGAGAACGTTTACATCGAAAGATTTAAAAACATTCTTCATAGCAAAGAATATTTGATAATGGTTGCTCTTATCTTCAGTGCGAGGTATTTGAATGAAAACTCACTTTTCTAAACAAAACACATTAGTTCCGTTGTATGTCTGAGAGCACAGGACGTATTTCTGCATAGATTTAAATGTGGTCTACTTCACTGAGTAGCAGTGTGCTGAGAAGCTTTGGAGGTGACACTGGAAAGTTTCGATCTTTGTAAATATGTTAAGTCTGTCTTTGCATTTTTCTATTCCGACACAGACTTCCATCTTCTCCTTCCAACTCTACTTATTCCATAAAACCCTGCGTAGGAATAACATTGCTGTATTTTCCCTTGGTTTTTAAAAACAAGAATCTTTGCCCTTCAGTAGCATCATGGGGTAGTGAACTCCCAAGTTGGAACTAGGTTGTTTTAAGTGACGTTGCCAGATACAAGGAAAAAGAAATATTTAGTAGCTCACTTCAAAAATGTTACACAGGAGGAGTGGTGCATTCCTAATAGTTCTTTTGGGCTAGCGATTCATGATTGCCGTATGCTTTATTTTGATAGGGTTTTTTTTTTCTTTGAGGTTTATTTTGTGACTAATGCTGAACCATAAGAAACCCGTAACTGAAAGGACTTGGTTTGATGCGTTGTTCCCAATACATACAGGACTATAAGGACATTGTGAATCTGCTGGTGAACGTGGCAGTTCCCAAAAATTACGTGCAAACATTAAGGAGCTTATATTTTATTCAAAATAAAATCCGTAATATTTCCTTTTGGTTAGAACCATCTAGGTGGTGTTGCCAAAGGAACAATTTTTTTCAGCTGCTTCTGAATAAACTTATTAAAATGTCATCTTTATATTGGATTCCAGTTTTTATGAACATTTCCTTAGTTTTTAGACTGTGAGCTTTTGCTTCATCCTTTATTTTAGGAATACTCTTAAGCACTCCACCTACTATTTGAAAGGGGGGTACTCACAGAAACCATATAGGTTTGTTACGTGAATGACCGCAGAAGAACACTATTGGTATGTAACGAAACAGCTGCAAATGGGGTCCAAAATAGGCATGCTGAGCGTGGAAGGATGAACTAAGCAAGTTTATAGTAGCTTAGATTTATTTTATTTTTTTTTAAGATTTAATGGTAACCAAGGCACAAAGACCTAATTGGCTTTCTTACAGTTTTGGTCCAGAATTTCAATCAAGTAGAAGTTACTAAAAATAATGATTGCATTATAAATACTGTCAAAAGTCTTCTAGGTAAAGCTGCTCTTTGTTCCCTGAAATAAGACAGAATAATGTGGTACTTTGGAAATATTGCACTGGGAAAAAAAAATAATTTAAAAGAATACTCTAAGCCCGCTTACAACTTAGTGACGAGACGCAGTAACATCACGGGAATTTTTGCGTGGAAGTGAGTTTTACACCCATCTGTGCAGTTCCCTATTTATGCATAATCCTTAAATACCATCCAGCACAATTGCTCTGCATGAAGTGCTGTTGGTGCCTCAGGGTAGACCCAAGCCCGGGACAGAGAATGAGCCGCAGGTAGGACATGCCCGGAGGGAGCCAACCCTGAAGACTGGTGCGAGGTGTTCTGCCCCGTGCCTGGTGAACTCCTCACACTGTGAGCACCAGGACCCCTACGCTGCCTCCTCAGGTTTATGGAATTGTTAGTTTTAAGAAATAAATGCTTATCTTTAAAAGGAGTCATTAAACAGTTATTCGTCCTACTGTTAGGGAGCAGCTTCTCTGTGCTGAGAAGGATGGGAAGCCATCTCGGAGAGGGGCGATAGTAGTGCGTGTCTGGGAATGTGGGTTAGATGCACACGGCAGACAGGTCAGCAGCTGAGTTCAGCAGTAGGAACATCTGCAGTTGATCAGCTGTCCTGTCAGAAGCAAACGTTATTGGGGTTAGAGGGTTTCTTGGAGCCTGAGAATATGGGTTTGATTCAAAAGTCAAAGAAGTTTGTAGAAATGCTCCTGCTTTGGGTTTTGAATCCATCCCAAAGAGGCTGAGGTTCAGCCAACTGAAGTTTTAAGAATTTTGATTCAGTTGTTTTGTTGGGTTTTTTTAAAAAAAATAAACAAAAAACCAAACTTACTTTGAGACAAATGCGTGGCTTTGGAATAAAGACATGAAATGGCCTCGGATCTATTTCAATGTAGGAGGCAACGTAAGCAATGCCTGTTTAATGACTGGATGCATCCTCTTTAAAGGCAGTTGCAGTAGACTATTGCTTGTGCATAGACAGAGTGCGGGTGGGTGGCTGGTGGTTTTAGCTGCTTATTGCAGTACCTGGGTATCTTACTATATGTAAACGTACTATATGTATGTATGTTTATATGCATTTTATTATACACATACATACATACTTAGACCCTGTGTTGTCACCATACCTCTCTAATATCTTAAATAACTCAGTAGCAAAAGTAGCAATTAGGTGAGTCATTTGTTAAACTGTTTGTGTTTTGTTAGTTCTCAAATCCTATCTTAAAAGTAGATCTCTTGGCAATGATCAGTTTGGACGATACAGCTCTTCTAGATCATTTGTTGTCTCCTCCCCAAAAAAACCACAAAGGAAGTAGAGGTAAAGCTAGATGGACGTGTTCTTGCCATGTTCTCTTTCAGCACAGGGTTAAATCTGAGCATCTTAAGTTAACTTTCTTGGAAGATCTGTTGCAACCATTATCTTGTTCTTTCTTTATCATGCATTCAAAATACAACGCAAAATGTGGAAAAAAAAAAAAAAGAAAAAGAAGGCATTTAATGTAGTATGTAAATAATTGACCTTTTAAAATTAAAATGTTACTCTAATTGCTTACAGTCAACCACATCTTAGCTATTTGTTAGTTTTTGTGTTGTCTTATCTAAGTTTAATGGATACAGTTCCATAAATGTTGATGTGTTTTTGTGTATATCTTCAAATTTTTATAAAGATGCTAGTAAGTCAATACATATATCCTGATCTGTGTATTATTTGTTCACAGTTTTTATTAGCATGATTTTATAATGATTTTAATAGGCAACGCCAGTAGGTGATTATATGGAGCCAACTCTTTTTTTTTTTCTTTTTTTTGAATTATTTTGTTTTCTTCTTGTAGCACTGGAGAATTCACTTCATAACTAATCGTATTTTGCCTTGACTGAAAGATTGGTTTGGCCGTATGATCTGTGGTATTTTAGTAGAATGTTCCACTTTTTTTTTATTTAAAAAAAAATAAATCTGTCCTTTAACTTTTGAGGGGAAATGCAGTGCACTGTCAGACCAAGGCATGGGATTTCTAGGTTTGTTCCATTGTGCTGTACAAGTACCAATGAGGTCTGTCGTGTAATATTGTTCTCAAAAGTTTGGGATATTTTGGTTTTACACGTAATTCAAGTTGCTCATGTAACACGCTGATCCGTCACAATGTTAGCAACCGATGTGGCACATAAACTGTATGATGGAACCACGCGCAGTGTTGGGAAAGCTGGGTGTCGTGGGTGCGAGGCAAGAGGAGGACAGGTCCGTAGCATCTTCATAGCTTGAGGAGGAGCTGCCATGCAAATGTTTATCTTTAAGTAGTGGCAGAGAATAAACTTAGGGATATTGTTGTTGGCCTGTATACATTTCCAATATGACTTCGCAAAAGAAGAGTAGATACTGGCACCTCACCTGTGAAATATCTTCAGATACTTAGTTTACTCCCCGGGTTAATTCTGAAGATTCGCTTCAGATTTCCAAATTTCTCCAAAAAACAATTCCTTCTAGCCATTAAAATGCCAAGCCGGCTGTGCATTTTCGTTCTTTGATGTTAGGTTTCCACTGCAAATATTTAGATGAGAGATTTTTTTTTTTTTCTTTTCAAAATTGTAGGTTATTTCAGAGTAACCTTGAGGGTCTTCATCATTTTTCCTTAACATTATTTAGCGATTTGAAATAAGAAAATACCTTTTCCTTGGTGCTGAAGATCTGATATATTTTTTTTAAACATAGTTATCTTTTAACTGTTTAGCTTGAAATTGTGCAGTTCTCCCAGAAGTTGCTGTAGGCGCTTCCCATCGTTACGCACAGTAACGACGTGTCTGTGTGTGTGGGTGCGTTGTCCTTAGAGCTGGGCTGAGAGGGTGGGTGGGAGGGCGCGGGGTTTCATTTCTTGGGGTTTTGGGGTTTTTTTGGCCTGTTTTTTGTCGAACTCGGGAGATACCCTGGATTTGTTCTCTGGCGTAGTATCGTGGTGTTCTTGTCCTTCGCGTAGTACTGTGTTTGTTATGTGGGTTGTGATACTGGAAGGCAGAAATACGGCTTCACCTGTTCGCTGTCAAAAAGGTGTTTTTTGTTCAGAGAGAGACAAACTTTTTTTTTAAATTATTTTTTGTGCTTTTTATTTCTTTTTTTAGCAGCATGTTGGATGAGAAACTAAATGTGAAGGAAACCGATACTGCACAGATTGCAGGAAGTTAGCTATATTATGAAGGTCATTTAGGGTAATATAGAGCTTTTGTTTCAATGTTACCTTAAATCCTGCCTTAACCCCTAATTAATTTATAAACATAATACTTGGAAGTATTTCATTTTCAATTAGTATCAAATCCTAAGGATTTTATGTAAGGTTTTTTTGTAACCTGGTTTTTAATCGTGTAGATGACTTATTATTCACGTGAGCACAGAGTCTTGTGTACAAAACCACTGATTCATATTGGATCCTTACGTATACCATCTTCTGGTATAATATGGTTGGGAAGGATCATTTTGTTCTTTATAATGCTGCTTTTTGCAGGGTTGGGGTTTTTTATTTAAAAAAAAAACACCTCCGTTTTCTACTTCTGTGCTTATTTTGGTGGAAAGTATGGTCCTTATTGCACTAAACAAAACCTTAAGGGGAAAGTTAACCTCACTGGGTCTTTTAGGTGCCTGTGTTGCTTTCTCACTTCTTGGTTGGATGCACTGATTTTTCTAACTAACTGGAAATGGGCTTTATATATGCACGGTGTTTCAACAGGTTGCACTGCATTTGTTTAATGTAGCAGCACTCGGTCAGGTTAAGCGATTTTTTAGCATTTAAATAATTTTAAACGGTATTACAGATTAAGAATATTTTTGTAAAAGAACGTGTGTGCAGTTCAATGTGGCTGTATTGCAATGTTGTGTGTAGTCACTCGGAAGATCGCAATTTCAAACGAACACTGCTGTATTAATGTTGCCTTTGTTCAGTGGTTCAGGAGTTTCTTTGTGCATCTAATGGTTTTTTAATGTGCATTTTATTTTTTCCTAGTGGTTGTCAGGCTGACTTTGGAACCTTTATAATTTTATTTCTAGTTATAGAATAACGAAACCATTTTTTTGCAGGATGTCTTTTGCAGGCAGTGAAACATCTTTCAACGGTTTAATTTGTAATTAATACACACTTTCACTTACAGATACAGCAAATACAAGATGTTAACACTCATTTATTCACAGCTGATCTTCTGTACCATTGCATACAATTTTTATGGATACAGAGTGCCCTTAGAATAAGTCAACTTCGTTTTTCCCTGTGGTACCCTTTTCCTCCACCCTATGCTTCACCTCATTTCCATCTCATTTGCCCCCAGTTTTCCCTTCCCACAAGGATAGTTGTATCCTTGTTCTGTTTCTGCTCTTTTCACTCCCTGTTCACCTCTCCAGACCTTTTCCTTTCTGAGTGCATTGCATTCAATCTTTTGCTCTATTTTCTGTCCTTATAGCTCTTTTGAGGATACCTGAAGCCTAGATCTCCCACCCCGACAGCACGTCGTACCGTACTTCTCTTCACGGACTTTGATAGATGAGGTTGCTTTTACAGGTGTCACACCTTAGGAGATGCTGCCCATCCCAAAGCGCTGGAGAAGCATCGCTTAACGGTTTTGCTTTGCAGCTTTATCCGTATTGGAGAATTAAAACAGTTTGCGTACATGTTCTAGCGTTTGTGGCAAGCCAGGCGAAACAGGATTAACAACTCTTTTATCCTTTTCACTTTTCCAGGAGTTCTGTTCTTGAATTCAGTGATAGTAATAGCACTTTTTTTTTTTATTGCCATGTAGATATACGAACACTGTCAACACAGTTCTACCTCCTATTACTATTACTGAATGTGATCCTTCCTAACCTGTAAAGTCTTAAACACTGTATATATTTGGGTGTTTTGAGAGTCACTTCAAATGTATTGCTCTAATCTGGATTACAGAGTTTGTTTATTAGCAGTTCAGGATATAAATTCAGCAGCCGACTGTATCATACTGACTCCACTGGGGGTTCGTCTGCCTCATGTTTTCTAC